TCTTTGATATGTTGGTAGGTAATGCATTTCAAGGTTTTGGAAGTTCATACTACTCTGTAATTTTTGATCTAATCTCTTCATGTACAACCCTTTTACGCTTTGCTCTTCTAGAGATTTTAGGTTGTATTTCTCAGACACAATATTGTCTTCTTGGTTTTTCATTCCGTTTTCTTTTGCGGTGTTTCTGCCCGGGATAAAGATTTTTGTTTTTAGGAAGTAATGATCGCTACCACAGGTCGCTCCCCTATATGCTCTCACATCCTGGAACTTTATAGTCCAAGAGCCAGCGCCAAAAAAGTGCAAGAGTTTCATGAAAGCTGAAAATGTAATATAAGTTTGTATTTGTGATGCATATAACTATAATCGAGTCAGCAAGTGAGGTAGCGGGACAAGCTACGCCCACGCACCTTTGAATGTGTAAAAAATTAATCGCGATGAAAGAGTTTCATGACAGCTGAAAATTTCTCAATCAATTGTTTATTTGATAAAAAACATGACGGACATGGTCAGATAGCATTATGTTAGGACAACTAGAGTCAGCATGCCTATACAGGGTGGTCCATTTAACTTGAGACAGTCTAATATCTTGAAAACGGTGCGTTTTTGAAAAAAAAAGTTCAAATAAATGTTACATGGCATCATGTGGGAAACAAAATGGCGGTACTGATTTTTGACTTTGACAACGTTTTCAAGGTTATTTCAAGGTCAACACTTTTTTTTTCAATGGAAATATATTTTTTTATTACAGAATCTTATTCTACAGAAAAAAACAAGTAACTTTTACTTGACGCATTTTTCGATCCGGTTTTAATTTAAGCTGATAAAAAAGAACGAATAATTTTTTTTTTCCTCACAAAATCGAAAAGTAGAGGAAGGTTACCAAAAATACCTCAAAAAATATAACAATTGATCAAATTGACGACCGCCAACTTCAACACACTTGTTAATTCGCTGTAAAAAGCTTTCATGGCACCAAATTACAGTTTCTTTACTGACAGCTCTAAGCATTTCTTATGTGTTCCATCATATTATCCGGTTTTGTGGGAACCTCTTGATAAACTGTGTGTTTGATTTTTAAAGTGAATTGACAAGTGTGTTGAAGTTGGCGATCGTTATTTTGATCAATTGTTATAGTTTTTGGGGTATTTTTGGTTACCTTTCTCTACTGTTCGATTTTGTGAGGAGAAAACAAAAAAATTATTCGTTCTTTTTTATCAGCTTAAATTGAAACCGGATCGAAAAATGCTTCAAGTGAAATAGTTGGGGAGCTGGCGTCAAAAACATGCAAGAGTTTTCGCAAAGCGGATATTTTCAAAATAGGTCGTACTTTAGTGTTAGAATGCTAGTGTACAGTCAGCACTCACAGTTCCGGGACAGCTGGCTCTGGGACGCGGGCAAAGTTGTAATTTTAAGAAGCATCTAAACTGTTTTCTCGAAGATCAAAATTTATAGAAATTTTGCACATTATCTGTTTGAAGGTCACAGATAACGTATGTAAATCGTCAGACGTCTAGTTCGTTGCAAAAACGGGGTCAGACGTCCTCAAAGTTTTTATTTTATGGCATTTTCTTCGGTGTCCTGTCAAAATATATTTTGGCAGGTATTTGACAAATATATTTGAAGAAAATGCCATAAAATAAAAACTTTGAGGACGTCTGACCCCCTTTTTGCAACGAACTAGACGTCTGACGATTTACATACGTTATCTGTGACCTTCAAACAGATAATGTGCAAAATTTCTATAAATTTTGAGCTTCGAGAAAACAGTTTAGATGCTTCTTAAAATTACAACTTTGCCCGCGTCCCAGAGCCAGCTGTCCCGGAACTGTGAGTGCTGACTGTACACTAGCATTCTAGCACTAAAGTACGACCTATTTTGAAAATATCCGCCATGCGAAAACTTTTGCATGTTTTTGGCGCCACCTCCTGGACTAAAAGTTACTTGTTTTTTTCTGTAGAATAAGATTCTGTAATAAAAAAATATATTTCCATTGAAAAAAAAGAGTTGACCTTGAAATAACCTTGAAAACGTTGTCAAAGTCAAAAATCAGTACCGCCATTTTGTTTCCCATATGATACCATGTAACTTTTATTTGAACTTTTTTTTTCAAAAACGCGCCGGTTTCGAGATATTAGACTGCTCAAGTTAAATGGACCACCCTGTATAGGCATGCTGACTCTAGTTGTCCTAACATAATGCTATCTGACCATGTGCGTCATGTTTTTTATCAAATAACCAATGGATTGAGAGATTTTCAGCTGTCATGAAACTCTTTCATCGCGATTATTTTTTTACACATTCAAAGGTGCGTGGGCGTAGCTTGTCCCGCTACCTCACTTGCTGACTCGAGTATAGTTATATACATCACAAATACAAGCTTATATTACATTTTCAGCTTTCATGAAACTCTTGCACTTTTTTGGCGCTGGCTCTCCGACTATTATGTTCGAGCTCTGTTTTGCGATAGTGTAGTCAATAATAGATTTTTTTTACTACTAACCTGAAAAATAGACATTATTCAATCTATTTTTCTAAGAAAAAATTGAATTTCTCTCCCTAGGTTAATAATGAAAATAATGAAAAAATACCTAGGTCAATAATGAAAATGACGGCATGACGCAAGGATATTGTCATGTTTCTATTGGTTCAATTTCAATTTCATACGTCAATTTGAAAAAAAAATACAGGTTTCTTTAGGTACATAGGAAGTTATATAAGCTGTTGATAGAGGGCAGCACTTTCAAGAGGGCGTTCACAAAAAATAATTAGAACACAGATTTTTAACAATTTTTTTATTTTCTACTAGCAGTAGTAAAAAAAATTCTATATATTCCTCGGTAGAGAAAGTCATTATATACCTCAAGCATTATAAACCTCGGCGCTGCGCGCCTCGGTTTATAAAAGCTTTCGGTATATAATGACCAACTTCTCTACCTAGGTATATAATATACTATTTGTTGTCTAGTTTCATTTTTCCATGTGTACGTATGTATTTCTTTATGCCGAAAATAACCGTTTAGGATTTTTAGGTTATTTTGTTGGCATATTTCTATGAGTCTTTCTCCATTGTTATTCGTTACATTCTCTCCGATTGTTATTTTCCTCCCGAACATACATACATTTAGTTTTATTATGGTTTCGTTTACTGCTTCCCATGATGTTATATGTTTTCTCCATTTTCTGTGTATGAAGATCGAGACTCCTTTCTTCGCTCTAACTTCTTTTTGAACCCCGCTAAAGAAATGATCGTACTCTCCCAGATTTTCTGAGCCCTGTCCTTTCTTTTTGGTCTCTCCATTTTTTGATATTTTATCTCTGATATCACTTCATTCAATTTTTTAGAGATTCCTTGGACGTTCCATGTACCGATACTCATTGTCCGTTTCCATTGCCTATAGTTCGTCTTCGTTTTTCGGTCCTGTTCCGAGTAACGGGGAGTTAGCCTCAACCCCCTACCAGGAGGATCAGGTCTTCCTCTAGCCTTTGATGATTCAACATCCAGCTACAAGGCAGCAGCTTCTTTGCCAGTTCACTTTCAACTTGATGTTAATTGATTCTGGTGGCTACAGACGGTATGGCTGGCCGAGCGTACCATAGCAGGGGATTTAAAAGAATATATGGTCTTAAGACAGCAATAAAAGCATACCCCTGGTCTGACCTTTACAATACTTTATTTACTTAACCAAAATGAAATCCAAAGACTGCAAAAGTTGCAAAATAGTTCTATGAGAATCGTACTCTCATGCAGCAAGTATACTTCTGTAAAGAGCTTCTAGTTGTTGAATATGCTAAATATAATGTACTGGTGTTTATTTTTAAAATTAAAATTGGACTTGCTCCATTATATCTGACAAGAAAGATGGTTTATAATAGCGAGCTGCATGATCCTAACACTAGATAGCAGAACAACTTCTATATACAACATAGATGTGGAGTATCAGCAACAAGATCGGTATTCTTTAAGGGTATGAATGAGTTCAATCAGTTACCGGATGAAATGAAGACATGTGATACTCTTAGCAATTTTAAAAGAACATTAAAAGTTTATTTGCTGACTCAATGTGATATATATGTCCAAGAGTAAGGCACGAATAAGTACACAGAGATGTACGTACTTTTGTGTTTGTGGAAACCTTTCATTTTGAATGAATTCATCGTATCTAATGAGAAAATTTTATGTACAATAATAATATACCTTCATAAAAAGGTTAAGCAATAATCTTGGACTGTGATTTAATCGGTTTCGGAATCTTCTTCCAACCCAGAAGTGGAAAATTCATCGGCTATCATCGTTGTGCATAATTCTCATCTATCATCGATGTGCACAATATTCATTCTTGTGTCGCTTCTTCCATGGAGTGATGTCTCTTATTATTTGTCTTCGTTGGGTACGTGTTCTACGTTCTCATACGCCAAATCCGTATGCTATTAATCTCGTTCCTTCTAGAATCAATTTTGCTCGAGTAAAATCTCCAAAATGTTTGCTTCGAATTATTCTTCTCACAGGTACAAATCTAAACAACAAGTCTGAAATGGTGTCTTCTCTACTCCGCCTATTATGAGGCAAAAATCCTTATTGACTGAACTATAAGTGGGCCTCCTAAGACTTAATCAATCTCAATAATAAATCAATACTTATAACCTATTCTTCAGGTCCCTATACTTTACCTGATGAAATGTTAATTTCACCTTCCGAGGTAATGAGTTTTTTAATTAAAGTGTCCATAAATCTGTTTTTATAGACTAATTACTAAAAAAATCCAATAAAGAATGCATAGCCCTTTTTTTAGTTTTTATTCTTTCGTTAATGACGTTTTCATTATCCGGGCTAACTGATTTTTTAAGTTGTAGTTCGGAAAAAAGTAGTATATAAGCAGAAATATAGGTACCTTATCTCAGTTAAAGATACCTCAAGAATTCCAATGCCGTCTCGAGATTGTCATTTCAAAATGATAAGGTTTAATTTATTTAAAAGCTACAAAGTATTTTTTTCTTCCAGATAAACCCCAAGGCAAAATGGTGTACGATTGTGGTTCTTGCATGGTCAAATATGTGCTGTGTGGATTCAACTTTATCATTTTTGTAAGTACCTATATTATGATAAATTCAATTATTATCTTCTTGCTATATAAAAAAATAGGTGATAGAACCGACCTTGAGAACTACAGAACAATAAGTTTACTCAACCACCTATATAAATTATATACTCGCAAAAGTAAATCGACTAGACGCTAAATTGGACTTTTATCAGTTTCGGAAATAGGCTGGTTTCCGCTCTGGGCTCGGTACCAACCTTTAGTGTCTCAAAACCCCTCATAAAAAAGAGTATTGAATACAACCGTCTTTTGGTTTTGGTGTTTGTAGACTTCCAAAAGGCGTTCGTACGACACAGTGGAACTACCTGCAATCTTGAGATCACTACAAGAAAGTAGAGTTGATCAACGATATTGCGATACTATTAAAAACATATACGGAAACGCAACAACCACTGTAAGTCTCCACTCCACCACCAGAAAAATTTAAATTAAAAAAGGGATCCGAAATCCGACAGGGTGACACTTGTTCATCACAGTTCTCGAACAAGCTTTTAAGAAATTGGCTTGGGAGCAAAATAGCTATTTATGTACCAAGGGGATTATGTAGATTATAATGCCCGAAGACGAAACTAGCCCTCGGGCCTCTGGCCCGAGGGATATATTTCGCCTGAAGGGCATTATAATTTTAAAATCCCCGTGGTGCATACAAGGCTTTATTTTCTACTCAACACAATGTTCTTTCATCAATTTATTATTAACAAAATCAGTTAAGCTTGTGTGACAGAATATTGTTTTGTATTTTGACATGTACCTGTACCTGTGATCTGTACCTGTACCTGTGACCTGTTCCTAGAAACGAAATAATAGTAGATTATACCACGAGTCAATAATGATAGCTATTATTCCCAAGGATTATTACGAACTGAGCCGCGTTAGCGGCGAGGGAGTAACATTCCGAGGGAATAATAGCCATTATTGCGAGTAGTATACTCTACTTTATATACGACAAATTAATTTATTTGAGATTTTCAATGAACAAATTTCATCCGTCTCAACATTTTCAATACAAATCCACAAGCATTACACGTTTGACACTGACACTTTTGTGGAATAATGACCATTAATCCCGCTACTCGTCATTAATCCCTGGAGGAATAACTTATGTCATTATACTGCCAAAATCACAAATATAATACGCACATTATACATATTAGTCGTAAATAAATTAATATAATATCCGTTCACAATCCGATGTCCACTGGTACCGGTAAAATTTATCACCTTTCAATACTATTTGATAGGGAAAGGTGATAAATTTACCAGCACCTGTGGACATCGGATTGTGAACAGGATATATCTATAAATATCTCATAAGGCAAGGCAACGATGGTGGTCCTGTGGGTTAACGCGCTGGACTACATGGGAAACGTTGATGGTAGACCGGGTTCGAATCCTGGCTAGACCGAAAATTATTTTCGGTCAGACATTTAGTGGCTGCCTAAGGTAAAGTGTAAATTAATAAAACAACAACAACAAAAACACCTCAGGGTATTATAAGCGGGCGTTATGGATCAGGTTGTTATAGGTATGTTAACGTATTTGGTTTCCTAGGTATTATGGATCTATAATAGTTGAGTAGAAAATAAAGGAATTAACATCGATGGGGAAAATCTTAATAGTCTTCGCTTTGAAGACGATATTGTCCTAATACCAGACAGGATATGCGAAGCTAAAGTAATACTCCAGGAACTTCAAAATTCCATGCATGAAGTGGGCCTATCGATTGAAAAACTGTTCTTTAATTGAATAAGTTAAGGCGGCAACACTGTAAAATTGCCAAAAACCTTTGAAATGTAACCCCACTTTTCTATTCATTTTGTTGTTTATGAGTTTATTTATTTATTTTAGTGCCTGATTTAGCTGACTTGGATTATGGAATTTAATATTTATTATTTCTTCGTCAGTTATGTGAATTTATTTGTCAATTCTCATTGGCATTCTTTGTGACTCTTTAAGTTTGTGTTTATTGTTCGGGGCAGCCTTTTTGCTTTGGGGCGTTCGTTGGTGAGCATTTTATATGGTCTGCCATAATGTGAAATATTACAGCTTAGTTCAAGTCAGAGTGACACAAACTAACAAACCTTTTGTCATATTCATACCCACTTTTATAATGGAGGAAGAACGCACATCAAAAATACAATAAAAATGCATTACACTTGAAAAAATAATCACAGACTTTAGGATGCAAGATGCAATGCCGACGTTCGGCATCTGGAAGAAATTGCCCAATTTCCTCAATTAGATTAGATACCTTGCAGTATTTTTTGAAAACCTCCAGATGTTTTTAAAAATATTTTCTGGCAAATCCAGAGGGTTGCTTGTCTCCCAAAAATTGTTCTTTTTCTGATTGTGTTCAAGTCTAAAAAGTATAATACGTTCGTAGTTATCCAAAACACTCTGCTCTTTGATTTTCTTAAAGACGATTTTTTGATAGCTCATACCACTCACCAAGGAGCCGTATTCTTGAATTTCTGGGAGGAGAACTTGCTCTGGAAGAGGACGTGGTTCACCTCAAAAAGGTACATGTCATATTCTTGAAAATAGGACTGTGAAGTGAAAGCTCCCGGGAATTCCTAAGTTTCCATCCTCTCACCCAAGAGAAAACGAGTTCCCACCAGGGCTTCTAACCTCAAAACTTGACGTTGTTTTCAAAGTTGACGGTTTTTTGGTTTTCTCCTTTCAAGTTCAAGGTTTTTTCGTTTTTGTATGTGTTGTGTCCTTTCATTACAATAAATGTGGATTATTTTAATGAGATTATCTTGAATAACATAACATAATCCAAGAAGACATGGAAAATGCTCCAGAAGCAAGAGAAATAGGATGAAATTTTCTGCCTCAAAGAATTCCTTTTCCCTTGACCAGAAATTCGTGAAATTTTTTAGAGTACCTAAGCAAAAATGTATGCCACGGAATAGTAGATATGGTTATTCCGTATGTTACCGCTTCAACGCGAGTCTCGGCTTTAACCAAAACTACAAAGGTATGCATTGAACACAGTATTCCAGAAGTTGATGAGCCACACGAAGTTCAGAGACAGGAAAACGGAATTTATGCTGCGGAAAATTATGCGGAATATTTCCCTCATGTATAAAAAATGCCATAAGAGGAATGCAATTATCGAAAACTTACAGCGATGATGTTCATGTTCATAGGGTAGTTGAAAATAAATAAATTATCAAACCTAAATGCCTTTCAGCTTTCAAAGTTTGGAAAAATAGACAATAATAAACATCAAACGTGGGGTTAGATTACTTCCTCTTCGTTTTTTTCGCTTGAAAACACGTTTTGGTTTGTTCGATTGACACTCGCATATGCGGCAACATTGCGAGGGCTTGTGGGTATTCAAGAATACGACTTTTTAGCTCCCGGGAGCGAAAGTGAACTAGCTTTCCTGGGAACGTTCCCGGGAACACTCCCTTCCCGGACAGTCAAGAATACGGGGCCTGAGGGAGCCGATTCTCGGGCCAGGGAGTAGAGCTCCCTGAGAGAATAATTTTTTTGTCTTTATCATTCCCGTTTAATTTTCGATTACGTTGACAAGAACAAAAAATTCGTTCTATTGGGGAACTCTACTCCCTGCCCGAGAATCGGGCCCCAGGAATAAAGAGCTTCCTTACCTTTGATTTTTTTCTTCTAAGGCTGGCAATTCGCAACGGAAAATTATCCATAAATGAAAATAAAATACCACTCACTTCTATAGTTTTAAACAAGTTTTGAAAACGACTTTTTTCGCACGGCCGAGACAGTTTGTTGGACCGAGCCGTAGGCGAGTTCCACAAGTAGAGCGAGTGTGAATTAGTGTGAAAAAAGGTTTTCAAACGTGTTTTTCACAATGCTTTTCCTACAACTGCAAAATAAAACAAACAAATATGTAATTCTTATTTACTTTACCAAAATAAATAAAAAACTAATAAGCAACATGTGAAAAACTTTTTCTCACACTGTGCCAAAAACTCTATTTTCAGAGGTTGCCTAGCGTGTGAAAAACTCCATTTTCAAAGGCAGTTGTAGGAAATAGCTGTTTATACAATAAGTTGCGAAATGAGCGTCTTTTAGGCACGCGACGTGAAAATTGTCCAACGAGGCAAAGCCGAGTTGGACAACACGTCGAGTGACTAAAATACATCCTTTCGTAACGTATTGTATACAAGATTTTTTCTACTGGCTTTTCATAATAAAAAAACACAATTTTACTTCATGTGAATAAGCCGATTACGCCCAAAATCTTTGTTACCTGCTTTTGCTTGACACCTGAAACTTTTCATGCGATTTTTTTTCAAGATTCGACATCAATAATTAAAATCCTAGAAAGTGGGTAACTACAAAAAGTTCTGTTCTGAGTAACCCAAACATTAAATTCAAAAATTTAATTTTTAATATTCATAATAAATACAGAACAAAATTCAAATCTGTGTTTAGTGTGTTTTTTATTCCTGAACAATGAATGACGCTTTTAGGCACTAGTGCTTAAAAATCACTTTTACGCACCTAAAAGTCACTTTTACGCACTGAGTGCTTAAAAGTAACTTTCACGCACTCAGTGCTTAAAAGAATGTCGTTTTGAAACTAAAATGACAATCGAAAAGTTGTTATTACGAAACGTCAGTAGAAAAAATTCTAAACATAACACAAATACCAATAGTTTTCCAATATCCAATCTGCCAAGCCGGTGCCTGAACCAGCTGCTTACAAAATATGAAACACTGAAAACTGTTATTGGAAAATATAGTACACCTGAATAAGAAATTCGATGTCAATTCCAATAACCAATATGACGTTCAATAACCAATATTCAATTCGACAACTAAGGAGCACCTGAGTAATAATCCACCATATTTTAACAGTTTTCCAATAACCAAGGCAATAACCAATATCCAAGGACACACGTGAATAGGGCTGAATAACATAGAAATACTGTACAAGTACGTATAACTAGGTCAGGAGATGAGAATTCACAGAGATGACCAAACATGCGAATTGACGAGA